TCTCTCTCTCTCTCTCTCTCTCTCTCTCTCTCTCTCTCTCTATATATATATATATATATATATATATATATATATATAGTTACTCTATTTCATTTTTACTAATTTCTACGGTTAAAATGTCGAGGTCATATTATCGTTACAGTAGTTACAGCGAGGACGACATATCAAAATCATTATCTCTCTCTCTCTCTCTCTCTCTCTCTCTCAGAGTTCCCAAAGGTCATGCAACATTTACTGGTCATTGCGCCGAGGGTTAACACATTTTTTTCAGTCAGGTCGTTGGAGTTCAGAGTTTAAATAAAGGTTGACAGGAAAATATGACTTCACTTCACCTGAAGGCTTTTCTGGGACAAAACCATTGATTTCCGAGCTCTTAGGATACGAAAAAGAATTGAAGTAAAATGTACATAATGTTTATTTTCTTAGGAAGAATATTTGTATACAATTTTAGTGTAAAACATTTCCATGAGACAATGTGACATTAATGGTTAACAATTGAGAGTGGCTCGCAGTTCCTAATATTAAGATGGAATAACTTTTTTTTTTTCTTATGATTATTGTAATTATCATCGTAATTATCTTATCATTATATTATTATTTGATTACTCTGTCTCCCCCCACCCTTCCTTTTCGAGAAATTCCTTATCTGATAATCTAACATATTCTTACACACATACCTTACATTTCGAAATAGTTATAATGAATGGGGTTAAATACAAGTATGAGGGTAATACAGACACCAAATGGAGGCGATCAGGTAACAGGTCAAGAGGTATTAGTGGAGGACATGCAGCATATGCATATCATATTAAGACTTTTTCGGGACAAAATTCATATACATTCATTTGTTATTAAGTGTTATACGGAAAAGATATGTACATATTCCCCTGTGACTCACCCTGTTGTCGGTGTTGCCAGTGAAGTGAACACTCACGTTACATCATTTTAATTTCAATTTTCGACTCTATCGAAAATCTTCAACATATACAAAGCATTTCATAAAGTCATTCATCTGCACCGTTACTCGTAGTCGGCAAAATCCCCTTGGGAGTGGAATCCCCTGGAGTGGAATCCCCTGGAGTGGGAGGTGGAATCCCCCCCTTGGAGTGGAATCCCCTGGAGTGGAATGGAAGGAGTGAATCCCCTAGGAGTGGAATCCCCTAGGAGTGGAATCCCCTAGGAGTGGAATCCCCTAATCCCTTGGCTGACGTAGTGGTTGGAGTGGAATCCCCTGGAATCCCGGGCGGACAGGGAGTCGCAGGAACCCGCTGTTGGAAGGAAAGGAAATAGGACTCAAAGCTATAATTATGTGGGTCGTCGCTTCAGTTGGTTTGTCTTTCGGTTTGTCTGTCTGTCTCAGTCCGTCCTTTGGTTTATATGTCTTTTAGTCCATCTTTCCGTTTGTTTTTCAGTGTTTCTCTGTCTGTATTTCTTTTCTGTCTTTCCTCTGTCGTCAGTCAGTTTTATATGTTCATCTGTCCGTCAGTCTGTCTGTTTTACAGAGATTACAGATATTAATGTAAGAGCTCTTAGTCGACAAGAGTTATAATTTAAAATTCCATACAAAATCATTATACGGTAAAAGAGAAAAAAATATTGTTTTTCTCAAAAGGAAAAAGCAGCAAAGAACTCACAGAAAAAGGTAAGAACAAACAGAAAAGAGCAAAAAAACAGTAAACTAGGGGAGACGAAAAAAACAAAAAAAAAAAAAAAAACAAAAACGGAAATGAATAAAATACTAACAGAAGAGATCATACCGACAACGATAATGATCTTAAACAACAAGATAACATCAATAACAAAAAAAAAAAAAAAAAAAAAAAAAAATAATAAAAAACGGATGATAAAGAAAGGAACAGACGAAACTCCAAAGTAAACCTCCAGCCGAATTACCTGGTCCTGATCTCCCGCTCCTCCAGGTGTGCGATGGTGTCCGGGAGAGGCACGTGCAGCGTCTCCGGCAGGGCGAGCGTGGCCAGTCCCGCGAGCACCGACGCCGCCCGAACACTGCTGACGGCGCCCACGGGTACAAGGGGCCTGGCCCCGGGAAGGGAGGAAAAGAGAGGGAGGGAGGAAGGCAAAGAGAGGAGGAACGGGAGGGAGAGGGAGGGAAGGAAGAAAAGAGAGGGAGGAGGAAGCTGGAGAGGGAGGGAGGAAGGAAAAGAGAGGGAGGGAGGAAGAAAAGAGAGGGAGGAAGGGAGGGAAGAAAGAGAGAGAGGAAGAGGAGTAGAGGGAGGAAGAAAGGAGGAGATGAAAAGAGAGGGAGGAAGGAGGGAGGAGAGGGAGGAACGGAAAAGAGAGGGGGAGGAAGGAACAGGAAGGAGGAAAGAGGGGAGGGAGGGAGGTAGGAAGGAACAGGGAAGGAAGAAAAGAGAGGGATGAAGGGAGGGAGGGAGAGAGAGCGTTATAAAAATCATAGAGATTTAAACAAAAAGCAAGAAGACTGTCATATCTTGCTGTCATGCAGTGATTGGTAAAAATCTGAAACACATCCAAGCTCATTCAAACTACTTACATAATATTCCCTTCCCATAAAAAAAATAATAATAACATTCACCATGATTTATTCCTGTCAAAAATAAAGAAAATAAGAAAAGAAAAAAAGAAAAGAAAAGAAGAAGAAAAAACTTACCAAGTAGTCCGTGATGAAAGGCGAACAAGTAGACCCCACCCTTGACATGACAAGGGCTGTGCTCATGCCCCTCGTCCTAACCTCGGTGGGAAAGAGCTCTGAGGAGTAAAAGTCGAGGATCTGGAAGGCCGAAGCGATACTCATCTTCCCCATAAGGGCTAAGGGCATCGATTCCCCAGTACCTGAGAGGAAAATTAAATATTATTTTAGTTCCCCTTATAATTTTTAAAATAACGTTTTCTATTATATTATTTTTGAAGGGTAATTTAAGCTAAATGTTTTACTTTCCTGTTTTTATTGTCAGGGAAACTTCTTGGTATTGACTGAAGACATGTTTGTAGACAGTAAATTCCTAATTTTGTTTGACATAAGAAACAACACGAACAAAAAAAAAATGAAGAAGGAAATCATGCTTTAATTTTTCTCAGATTTTTCATTATGAAACCTTACACATATTTCATGAAACAACCTCCACCCCAGACAACCTCACTCACCCGTGGGCACGAAGGGCAGTGCGAGAAGAGCCACGGCGCCCATGAAGAAGAAGGCGACAACGGGAGCCCTCCTGCCGTAGCGAGCCACCAGGGGGATGACCAGCGTGTAGGCCGGCAGCTCCACGACCCCCGTCAGCACCATGTACAGGAACGGGTCGGAGCTCAGGTCGCCGCCGCTGAGCGAGAGGCCGAAGTACACAGCACCCACCAGTAGGTAGTTGGTGTACAGGCTGAGGGTGATGGTGCGAAGGCGGGGGGTTCTGTTGGGTGAGGGGGCGAGGGTGTGAGGGGGTGTGGGGGAGTGGTGGAGAAGCAAAATGAGTATCGTCTTTGTAGGAGGATATATTGTCTTTACTATCATTGTCATCTTCGTTAATTTTATCACTATTACTAATACCATTCATATTGCTCTTATAATCAAGATAATTCTGTGGGTTTGAGACTACATCCTCTGCACGCTTTCAGTAACCGACATAGCGAAATATGTCAGAGAAATTGCAATATTTCCACGAAATCAAAATATACAGACAAGATATACAAGATTTTTCATTCATATAAAGAATCGTATGATATATTTCAGCAATGTATAAGGAAAGTTTGGCAGAAGGAAAGGAGGAGGAGGAGGAGGAGGAGGAAGGAATAGAAAAGAGAATAGGAGGAGAGGAAGGGGAGGGAGGAAGAGGGAAAAGTGGACCTGCCTGAAAAGAATAAATGCTTCATCCAAACGCCTTCTGAACCAGCCTCTCGCGGTGTGGGCGCGGGCGTCTTGGTGCGGGCGTACCATTGCCTACGTCACGGGATCAAGTGATAAAAGAAATACAATAAATAAAAGGATTATGAACCAGGATTATTCTTCTGTCTTGTATTGTATATTCAGAAGCATGATTAGTGACAGGATTTATATTTCGAGGAAAATTGATAAAAAAAAAAAATGTATGTATATACACACACACACACACACACACACACACACACACACACACACACACACACACACACACACACACACACACACATATATATATATATATATATATATATATATATATATATATATATATATATATGATAAAGTGTGTTCCTTTACACATGCGCACAAGCACGCGCTCGCACCTCGTCCTTGACTCCGTCCTTGAGCAGGAGCAGAAGCTCGTCCTCGGGGGGCAGGGCGACCCCGTTCCACCTGGCGGCCCTCTGCAGCACTCGGAGGGCGCGCCGGTGCTGCCCCCTCACGGCCAGCCACCGAGGCGACTCGTCCATGAACCTAATAGGATAATCCAGAAGAGGTGAAGGAGGAGGAGAGGAGGTGAGAGGAGGAGAGGAGGAGAGGAGGAGGGAGGAGGAGGAGAGGAGGAGGAGGGTGGGAGAAGATGGATGATAGAAAGAGAAGCGGCTGGATGATGGAGGATGGATGGGAAGAGAAGGGTTAAGGAAAAGGAGAAGACATTGACGAAGGAAGGAGTTCAGGGTCTATCACACCAGGACTTTTCCGTCAACTTTAGTGACTCTTTGTGAACTTTGCAGATGAGAGAGAGAGAGAGAGACAGACAGACTGAAACAGACAGACAGACAGACAGAGAAAGAGATAAATAGATAGTGAGAGATAGACACAGATATCGAAAGTTGTATCACAGAAATCTCATCGAAACTTACCACAGAGTAGGCAAGAAGGCCAGACACAGCAAAGACACGGTCAGCTGAAGCATCCGCCATTCCCGGACGAGGTAAGCGAACCCGCCCCACGCCATGAGACTAAGCGCCCATGGCAGAAACAATGCAATGCCGATATGCGTGCGCCACTTGGGATCCGCGACCTCCATGCCTGCGAAAATTGATAACGCTCTAAATGGTTTTGTACTTTCTCTCTATCTCTTTCTACCTATCTATCTCTCTATCTCTCTCTCTCTCTCTCTCTCTCTCTCTCTCTCTCTCCCTCTCAATCCATCTCATCGTTATTGCCATCTGTATCTCTGTCCACTGCCTTTCCTATACCTTCTCCCCTCCTTCTCTACCTGTTCCTTTTCCCTTGCCTTCTCCCTCCTCCGCCACCCCTCACCTAGTATATATATCCCGTCTTCAGTATCGTGGGGTCGACGGCGCCCATGAGAAAGCGCGAGAGCAGGAGAGCCGAGAGGTTGGGGATCCAGCAGGAGCCGATGGCCAGGGCGGAGTAGGCGACAAAACCCACGGCCATGGTCATCTTACGCCCGTACCTGTTTAATGGTAGAATTTTTAAGTTATTTTTGGATTCTATATCCCTAAGATGAATTTATGTGATACTCTTTTTAGTATAAGCTGCTGACATTAGATTTTCCAATTCTTAGAAGAGAAAGTATGGCTATGCAAAACAGACTAGATATGTGGATATACGAAAATTCACTTTTTAATAATAAAAAATCATCCTTAATGTAGAAAATGTTTGGTTATAGCTTTTAAACACATGGTCCCCAGTTATGTTTATACTCTGATTATAATTATTGCAATTATGGATAGGCACAAAAAGGCCTAAGAACTATAAACCTGGACTTCCTGTTATGATATAGCATATAAAAACAAGTTTAACAAACGCAACTCATCTTTCGCTTTAGGGGGGGTTATAAATAGGGTTTCAGACCTAAACGCGTTGCCAAAGAAAAAAAAAACGTTAGTCATGTGTTGAGGATTAGTAGACAAAACTACGAACCAGTTATTTTTTTATTGCCAGATAGTCAAAAATACTGTAAAGTTCGCGATATTTTTCATTTATTAGATTTTCCGCCCGTTCTTAACGTTTCTCGGGAGTATTGTGAGAATTATGAATGTCTGTATCTATGGGAATGAGAAATCTTAGACACACACACAACCACACACACACACATATATACACAATCTTACACGCGCACATACAAATAAATACCGAGAAACATACAGTAACACAAAAAGACGAAAGAAAGGAGAAAAAAAAAAAAAGCCGAACACATTAACCCCAAACAGCAAAGGACAAGAACACCCCCCCCCCACCACCACCACCACCACCAGGCCGTTCCCAAACGAGAGCCGCTCACCTGTCGGCCAGAACCCCGTTGAACGGCGCCCCGATCGTGACGCCGAACATGTAGATGCTTTGGTACGTCGAGCGAAGGTACTCCCAACCGCAGGCAAGCTGGAACTACAGTGGATACAAGGGCCTTAATGTTCTGCGGATTTATATCTACGTTTGTCTCTTTCTCGGTAAATATGAAGGGTAATTTTCTATATTACGTCCGCATAACCGATATCGACGATTTTGGTATCGTTGGATTCCTCTCACTTTATACAATGCAAATATGTAGGTTTTATTGCGCGGAAACCCCTTTTTAGCGATAAACTTGGCCTTGATATCGGGGGCGACGATGTCGGAGCGGCGGACGTAATATATAAAATTACCCTAATAATGACTTTCCATTGCAGGGGGCTGTACCCCCTGCGACACCCCCCTTGGGGGGGGGGTGCCCGCCCCCAACCCCCGCCGAGGAAACAAAACCTCCACCACGTATTCACGGCAGGATAGAGCGCACACGAACTAGATGCGGAGCCGATAACCTGCAATAACCTAGGATTTTTAAGGTACTAACCTGATTGATTAATGCCGCTAATTAGTAGGGAAGGTGCTCCTTTGCCGCAGAATGTGAAGGAGGTCCAGGCGTGCTGGCTGCCCGCACCTGCCACAGGCTTTCTCCCGACGAAGGAGGCCGTGGGGGAAGCACATCTCTAGCATTTTTTCCTGCCTCGTTGCAATTTTGCGCAGAAAAACCGTCTCCGAATACGAGCACTCTCCACACTCGGTCATCGCGGCGGCTATGACTGACTTCTGAACGCGACGGTTATTTCGGTTAGGAATACGAATGTCGTTATTCCAGAGGAAGGGAAAATCGACCTTGAGTCCATCGGTGTAACATCGAAAGAGGCGCAAAACCCGCCGACGAGGGCGGGCTAACCTGTTCATCCTGATTATACTACAATCGTCTCTATATACAATGACTATCAAGGTTAATATGCTAATTCAGTGGGAATCTTACGAGGTAATTGTAATATTACGCCCGCCGCTCCGACATCGACGACGATTGTGTAACACTCTAGCCTGCCGGGAATACGTGGTGGAGGTTATGTTTCCTCGGCGGGGGTTAGGGGGCGGCAGCCCCCCTCCCAGGGGGGTCGCAGGGGCACAGCCCCCTGCAATGGAAAGTTATGTGATAACCATGGTTATTTTCACTGTGCGTTATATTATTAGTGCTATTTAACCCCGCATTTTCCCTGGAACTTTTCATGCCTTCCCTTGCTATCGGGGCCAAGGTTGTCGCTAACGGGGGGTTTCAGCGCAATAAAAAAAAAAAAAACTATATATTTGCAATGTGGAGAGTGAGAGGAATCCAACGATACCAAAATCGTCGATACCGGTTATACGGACGTAATATAAGAAAAATTAACGATAATGAAGTAAATGGAAATAAGGATTTAAGTAGATGAATATGTCCTCTACTCTAATCAATCTATTCTTTAAATATATTGTCTCTTTCCCAGTAAATATGAAATACTTGAAATAAGAGGCTTTAAGTAGAGAATGTCTCTCTCTATCAATCTATCTTTAATATATGTCTCTTTCCCAGTAAAGTATGAAATACTTGAATAAGAGGTTTAATAAAACAAGAATGGTCTCTCTCTATCAATCTAGCTAATCTTTATGTATTGTCCATCTTTTCCCTGTAAATATGAAATACTTGAATAAGGATTTAAGTAGATGAATGTCTCTATCTATCAAACCCCAGTCATCTATAAGCATATGTTAATGTAGTTACAAAAACAAGTATAGAGTAACATGAACAAAACAAATTGAAACTGAACATTGTCATAATAACTATATGCATCTATTGAAGCAATGTCATAAATATTTTGTTATCTATTGAAGCACTGTCACTAATATTTTGTATCGTGCTGAGCGCTGTCATATATATTTTTGTAATCTATTGAGCACTGCATAAATTTTTGTATAATAATGAGCACATGTCATAATCATTTTTTGTATCTATGAGCAGTCATAATATTTGTATCATGCTAGCACTGTCCATAATATTTTGTATCTACTGAGCAGTCATAATATTTTGTATCTCTGACACTGTCATAATATTTTGTATCTATTGGAGTCATAATATTTTGTATATTGCTGAGCTGTCATAATATTTTTGTATCTATTGAGCACTGTCATAATTTTGTATCTGCTGAGCAACTGTCAAATATTTGGTATTGAGGCACTGTCATAATATTTTGTATCTGTTGAGCACTGTCATAATAATTTATCTGTAACGCCAATACCTTTGTCACCGCCAAGTCACAGGCACCACACCGCTTACCAAACGGTCTGAATCAAAATTACCTCAGTGCCAACGGTGGAGCTGAAGGTGGAGTTGTCGAAGTCCCACTCGACGCACGCTCCTCCTCGACTGGCCCGAGGACGAGTTCAGCACGAAGTAACTGCACTCGGGTCTGGGGGAGAGGGTGGGGAGACTTCAGTTAGAGGGGGTTTTGTTCGTCTCTGCATGAGTGACACGGTGTGAGGGAGACTGATGCTGATGAACTCTATCGTCTCCGCTCCTCCTCCTCTCTCCTTCCAATACCTCTCTCCACTTCCAACTCTCCCTCCTCTTGTCTCTGGTTCCTCCTCTGTTTTTCCCTCTCCTGTGTCTATTCTTTCGCCCCTCCTTCCCTTCTCCTTATCTCTCTCCCTCTCTCTACTATGAGATAAGTTATATATAAATAATTATATATATAATATAGTACTATTATAGTATAATACGCACACACACACAAGTAAAAACACACAATAATA